GTTGTTTGGCGGGTCCGGGCTGGGGATTCGAACCCGCCACCTTAGGTGTACGTGGCTGGCGCCTTAGCCGGTTGAGCTATAGGCGCCGAGCCTAAAAAAACTATCTTCCATGAAACTGGTCCCTACGCCAAAAAGTCTGGTGACTGATGCCCTAGGCCATGCCCCCTTCCTCTGAATTATATATAGCACGGCATATATACATATATATGATAAAATATGGTAGGGGTATGGGTATTTTTTACATATTTATATTTTAACATACCTTCCTATATCCATAAGTTGATTATAAGCCTTTCAGAGGTAGCCATATGCCAATAGTACATGTCCCAGTTTAGTCTGACTTTGACTCTTTTTCTAAGCAGACAGATGCGTCCTGTATCACTCCAGTACACATGGTCAACCGCAGTGAATGCCGGCAGACATAGTAATAAGCCCTAAGCCTACAAATGAAAAACACGGTGGCGGTTCTAGTGGAAAAGGCTACACACGATCCTGGGACCTCGGAAATCCTCATCCAATTGTAGCGTCTTCCCGACAGCCTAGCTCCAACCCCACGGGTCATCTGCAGAGGCCTTTTTGGGTCTTTAGACGTCGTTAAAATACAAGGGGAAAGGTAACGGCCTGGGTCCACAACCCACAGGGCAGCGGGTCGGAGGGACGCAACCTGAGCCCACAGCCCGACTCTCCGACTCCCCCGCTCGGCTCCGCCCCGGCGGCGGGCGGCGCGGCCGGGGGCGGGGTTTCCGCTTCCGGTGGCGGATTGTTGACGCCTGCGGCTGCTGCGGTGGCTACGGGGCCGTTGGGGAGGGGCCCCTGGGGGAGGGAGACGGCGCAGTGACAAGTACCGCCGAGGGTGCTGCTGAGGCTACGATGGCAGAGGGGCCCGAGGAAGCCCGCGGCCGCCCTCCCGGGCAGGACGATGGCGGAGGGGACCACGAGCCGCTTCCTTCCCTCAGAGGCCCTCCTGCCGCCGCTGCCCCGTGCCCCCGGGCCGGGCCCCAGGTTGAACTCCAGGCCCCGGGCCGGCCCCCGACCCCCAGCCTTGCCACCTCCACCGAGGACTCGGAGCCGGCGCGTGAGCTCCGGAAGCGCGGGGAGGCGGCCTCCGGCTCTGATGCGGGGCTGCAGGAGCCGGCGAGCTGCGAGGAGCCCGGGACCGCGGCGCCGCGGGAGAGGCCACCGCGCCTGAGCGCTCGCGAGTACTCGCGGCAGGTGCACGAGTGGCTGTGGCAGTCGTACTGCGGCTACCTCACTTGGCACAGCGGCCTGGCCACCTTCCCCGCCTACTGCAGCCCCCACCCGCCCCCACCGACCTACCCCCCGGCCGGCGCTGCGGTCCCCCAGGTCGCTGTGCCGCCGCCCCCCCAGCTGGCCTATTACAACCCCTTCTACTTCCTGAGCGCCGGGGCCGCGGGACCTGACCCCGGGGCTGCTGCGGGCATCGCCGCTCCTGCTGCAGTCTCAGGCCTGGGTCCCCGAGCCCCTCACGTTCAGGGATCAGTCCGGGCCGCTCCGGTAACAAGAGTAGGATCTGCAGTCCCTTCGCGAACCCCGAGCGACACCGGGCGGCAAGCAGGTGAGGAGCGCGAAGAAGAGGTCGGGCGGTCGACAGAGCAGAAGGGTCTTCGGGGAACTGCTTGTCGGATGGAGCGGGCACGGTTTTTAGATCTTTAAGATTAGTCATTCTCCGCGTGCATCAACTATCGTTGGTCCAGTCCTTAAATTCCCAAAACGTACAAGGCAATGCAGACTGGCACTCCGAATTGTTTCCCTTACTCTTGAGACCAGTTATTTCCATATGTAAAGAAATCTTTGCTCTTCTAGCCATCCTCTTGCACTCCACCCTCCGGAGAGCGAGACCCAAAAAGCTAAACTCCCAAGTGGCAAAAATACTTTTGGAGGGGCTTAACTGGTAATGGTAGGAATAATCCAGACTTTGTGTGCTTAGGGGCAGTGGAAATGAATGGAGATCAAAGGAGACTTGCTTGAATACCAAAGGAGTCATGAAGTTTTGATTGGGCCCTGTCTTACTGATTGTGTATACTGTTTATTTCTTCATGGAAGTGAGAATATATTTAGGTACTCGCTGGGGCCTACTATTTAGACTTTTTATTAATTTGACTTTTTGTTTAATCAGGCACAGGTATGTAAGATGAAAACTAACTGATGCTGAATATAATTCCAGTCAGGATTGATAATCATTGAGTTTATTTTGTAGAAAGCAAAGCAAACTAAAAGAATGAGGGAGAGAAGATACAGGGACTTTATACTAGTTGTCTGTACTTAACCTTGATTTTTACTAAAAAATGTTTAATTTTATGTCACCTGGGTTCTTTCCATTAGAGTTTCTAGTGACATGTATCGGGTACCCCAATCAAATGTATCTGTGAAATGTTTGTGTTTTTCTGTTTTGTTTTGTTTTGTTTTTGAGACAGTCTCACTATGTTGCCCTTGGTAGAGTACTGTGGTGTCATAGCTCACAGCAACCTCAAACTCTTGGGGTTAAGTGATTCTCTTGCCTCGGCCTCCCAAATAGCTGGGACTACAGGCACCCACCACAAGGTGCAGCTATTTTTTTTTTTTTCTTGCACTTGTCATTATTGTTTAGCAGGCCCAGGCCAGGTTCGAACCTGCCTGTCTTGGTGTATGAAATCAGTTGTTAATAACAGTGTTCTTGGTGGAATTAATATCAATAATTGCTATAAGATTATATATTTTTTTTTCTTTTTGAGACAGTCTCACTCTGTCACCCTGGGTAGATTGTCATGGCATCAGCCTAGCTCACTGCAACCTCAAACTCCTGAGCTCAAGTGATCCTCCTGCCTCAGCCTCCGGAGCAGTTGGGACTACAGGCAGCAACTACCACACCTGGCTAATTTTTCTATTTTTAGTAGAGATGGGGTCTCACTCTTGCTCAGGCAGATCTGAAATGACTCCTGAGCTCAAGGGAATCCTCCTGCCTTGGCCTCCCAGAGTGCTAGGATTACAGGCATGAGCCACTGCACCCGGGCAGATTATAAATTATTATCGAGTTGTAGCTTAGCCTTCTTTCCCCATTCATTACCTTTCTTGTGTTATAAGGTCTGTGTGAAAGGATTAGTTTTACTAACCCTTTTTTTTTCTTTTTCTTAACAGGCAGAGAGTATGTGATTCCATCCTTGGCTCACAGATTTATGGCAGAGATGGTGGATTTCTTTATTCTCTTCTTTATAAAAGCAACCATTGTCTTAAGTATTATGCACCTCAGTGGAATAAAGTAAGCTAAAGACAGTTACAGAAAAGTTTTAATTTCTACTATTTAGAGATCTTGTTTTGTTAAATTCTGATCATGCCTACAAGTGATTCTGTAGATAATCATTGTGCCACTGGCATGTTATCTTTATAAGAGCTTTGTCAAATTTATTGTTTTGTTGGTTTTAAGAACTAACCACAAAGGAGGAAAAGACTGAATAAGTTCTGTAAGATGTGTGGTAATCTCATGTATCAAAAGTAGATAAAAGGAACCTCCAAATTTGATTTGATTTTATTCAACTATCCTCTTAGAACTGAAATGAATTTTACTTTTACTATCTTGTTCCTTCTTGCTATCTTGTGGAGTACTTAAAGGTACAAAGAATTTTTGATAGGTAAATTATTAGTAATCAACTTAGATGGCATTTCCAAATGGGATTTCTTATATTATCAGGCAAGTCCCAAGTGAACTTCAAAGTAAGGCATTTATAGTCCTCCTTTCAGATTAATAATCCTAGTAACAGTTATTACTTCCTAAGTACTTCAGGTTTATTTTTTTTAGAGACAGAGTCTCACTCTGTCACCCAGGCTAGAATGTCATGTCCTAAGCCTAGCTCACAGGAACCTCCACCTTCTGGCCTCAGGCAATCCTCTTGCCTCAGCCTCCCAGGTAGCTGTGACTACTATAGGTGTACACCACCATGCCAGGCTAACTTTTCTGTTTTTAGTATAGATGAGGTCTCGCCTTGCTCAATCTGCTCTCAAATTCCTCACCTCAAGTGATCATCTTGCTTCAGCCTCCCAGAGTGCTAGGATTATAGGAATGAGCCACACTGCCCAGCCCCTAAGCACTTTCTGTGTGTTATGCATTGAACTCAGATCTTTATATAGACTCTTATTTATTCTTTAATACTACTGTGAGGTAGAGGTTAATACTTCTATTTTATAGAGTTTGAAATTTGGATTTATGAGAAATTAAGCCCTAAACTAAAAAAGTTACAAAGGTATTTAGTGACAGTCAAGATGTAAACCCAAGTAGTCGAGTTTCAGGGCGCTTGCCAGGAACCTGAGTGTTAGTGTGATTCCTTCCTGCTCCTCCCACTCACCCTCTCTTTCATCATTGCTTCTCCCTAGTTTAGTTACTGTCATGTTTTGCTTGTATTATAGTGGTAACTTGGACTCTTTTCTCCTGTTTTGTCTCAGGCTAGTCTCTGATAAAAAGCCAGAGTGGGGCAACAACTGTGGCTCAAAGGAGTAGGGCGTTGGCCCCATATACCAGAGGTGGCGGGTTCAAACCCAGCCCTGGCAAAAACTGCAAAAAAAAAAAGCCAGAGTGATCCATAAATTCTTATTCTGCCCCTGTACTGCCTTAAAAACCCTTCAATGGTTTCTCATTGCCAGTAGGATAAAGTCTTATTTTCTTCGTCTGATTTAAAAGATGCCCTTCTTTTTTTTTGAGACAGAGTCTCACTTTGTCTTCCCTGATAGACTGCTGTGGTGTCACAGCTCAGCAACCTCAGACTCTTGAGCTCAAACTATTCTCTTACCTCAGCCTCCCAAGTAGCTGGGACTACAGGTACGTGCCACAGTGCCCCGCTACTTTTAGAGATGGAGTCTCACTCTAGCTCGGGCTGGTCTGAAACTTGTGAGCTCAGGCAATTCCCCCCACCCCGCCTTGGCATCCATCAGTGCTGGGATTACAGCATGTGCTACCATGACCAGTCCCTTATTTCTTATAACCTCTCACACTTAATATTGGTCATTAATGTGAAGTATCTGATTTCACATCAAAAGTTTATTATATCTCAAACAAGAAGTAGTACAGTTTTTTCTTTTTCTTTTCTTTTTTTTTTGAGACAGAGTCTCACAATGTTACTCTTGGTAGAGTGCTGTAGCATCACAGCTCACAGCAACCTCAAACTCTTTGACTCAAGTGATTCTCTTGTCTCAGCCTCCCAAATAGCTGGAACTACAGGTGCCTGCCACAATGCCCAGCTATTTTTTTTGTTTCACTTGTCGTTGTTGTTTAGCAGGCCTGAGCTGGATTTGAACCTGCCTGCCTCAGTGTATGTGGCCAGCAGCCTAACCACTGAGCTATGGGCACTGAGCCAAGAAGTAGTGCAATTAATCAAACTATGTACCTAAACTTTGGACACAGTTTTGCCATCTTAATGATAGCTTGTATATGCCAGCATTGAAGAAGCCTGGAGAGCCGATAGCAATGAAATCACAAAGGGCCTTTTTCACAGTTTGTTGAGAATTAAGTATGTTTCTTTGCAAGAGGATTCGCCTGTTGCAGTAGACATCTGCTGTTATTGATTGACCAGGTTTTACATTGGTCAATGTAAGTTGGATAATATAAATGTTGGACCACCAGACACTATTAGCTTTTTTTGTTTAGACTGTGTTTTAGCACTTTGTCTTTATCCAGCCATTGTGCTGAATGCTTGGGACTGCCAAAAAGAATCCATTTTTCATTTCATAAAATTTCACCTTTGTCATGACAGCAGAGAAAGGCAAGCTTTGAGACGATATCTCTTCTCACTCTCATTTATTTCATGTGGCTTTCAGCGTCTTTACCTTGGTCATTTGTTTCAAATGGTTCAGTGTTGGAATAGTAATGTCAGACCTTGCTGCTAGGTTGAGATGGATTTGCTTCCACTACAGCTTTTAGTTCATCATTATCCACCTTGGTCTTAGGTCGCTACTGTGGTTCATTTTCAAGATTAAAATCACCACAAGGGAATTTCTCCACTCATCAGTTTATTATGCGTTCATCAGCCACATCCTTCCCAAACACTTTGCTGATACTTCGCACTGCCGTACTGCATTGGTTCCAGGATAGAATTCATATTTAAAAATCACATGCATTTTTGACTTGTCCATGATTTTACAAAAATTGCTCTAAAATTTTTTGAAAGATAATCACAAGCCAAAACATGCATTTGAAAGAATGAATATGTACCTTCATAATAAAAAAAAGTGTCAAATGAAATGTCAGAGATATTACCTGTCAAACTTAATACTTAAGGAAATCAGACATTTTATAATATTTGAGCCATTCCAAACTGCTTCTGTCACATATTCTTGGTTCAAGACTTTCTCTCCTGCTCTTCCCTTCTCTGGAACCTTCTTTTCCCTTCTTAGTCTGGCTAGCTTTTCTTCATCCTTCAGATCCTAGCTTAAATGTCCTCTGTGAGAAGCTTTTAGGTAAAGCACAAGGTAAAGTGTATCTGGTATGTGTAAATGTTTCCATAGTATCCTGCGGTTCCCTATCATGGCTCTTACCCCCACTTTATGATTGCTACTTACTGTTCTATTTACTTGCCAGATTAAAATCTCAATGAAAGCAAAAACCATGTTGAATTCATCCATCATTATGTCCCTAGGACTAGTACAGTGCCTGCTTGTGATAATGCTGCTGCTTTGTTGAATATGCTAATGAATGTTTTGTGAAACTAGATGGTTAGGAACCTAAAGATCACCTTATAATTTTGATTATAATTTGTGACTTAAAATAATGAAAAAAAAAAGTGCAACTGTTCTGGTAATTGACTTTTCTAACCACAAACTATCATTTCATGTAGGGATATATCTAAGTTTGCTATGCATTATATAATAGAAGAAATAGATGAAGACACATCAATGGAAGACTTGCAGAAAATGATGGTTGTGGCTCTTATCTACAGATTACTAGTTTGCTTCTATGAGGTAAGCTACTGACTTCAGCAAATATTAATATTTAACAATCTAATTTTAGATTATCAGCCCAAAATAAAAATGTAATGGAAATTTATAATTATTTGTGTATTTTTCTTTCTTTCTTTTCTTTTTTTTTTTTAGAGACAGAGTCTCACTTTATTGCCCTAGATAGAACGCTGTGGCATCACAGCTCACAGCAACCTCCAGCTCTTAGGCTTAGACAATTCTCTTGCCTTAGCATCCCGAGTAGCTGAGACTACAGGCACCCTCCACAATGCCCAGCTATTTTTTTGTTGCAGTTTGGCTGGGGCCGGGTTTGAACCCACTCCCCTTGGTATATGGAGCCTGTACCCACTCACTGAGCCACAGACGCCACCCTATTCGCATAGTTTTCAAATGTCTTTTTCTACTTTTCTTTTTTCCTCCAAGTTTTCCTTAATATATTAAGTAAAAAAATAAATTTTGGAAGGGAGACATTTTATAATTTCTTTGTGATATTTTTCAGTCTTAGAAATTCAAATACAGTTCCACTCATAAATTTGTGGTTCAGAAATACACTGAATAAATTGGTTATGGAACTTGAAACATGTTAACTAAAAAGTAGAATAGGCCATTGAGAAATGTTACAGTAGACACCTTGTGGTATAAACATGTTAGCAACCTATAGAAACACATTAAATAGTTAATATTAGAGTATTCTACACAATTCCATCTTTTAACTTGAAAATGTTAAAACTTGAAATAATATGGTAGGAAAACTTATCTTTAAAATTGGTGTAGTTGATGGTTCAGCAGTGGTTATGGCGCCAGCCACATACACCAAGGCTGGCGGTTCGAGTTCAGCCCAGGACGGCTAAACAACAACTGCAACAACAACAACAAAAAATAGCTAGGCTTTGTGGCAGGTCCCTATAGTCCCTGAGACTTGTGAGGCTGAGGCAAGAGAATCACTTAAGCCCAGGAGTTGGAGATTGCTGTGAGCTGTGACACCACAGCACTCTACCAACAGTGATGGAGTGAGATTCTGTCTCAAATAAAATAAAATTGGTGTAGTTGAGCTAGTAAATTATTTTAAATTATCCTTTTCTTAGATAATTTGCATTTGGGGAGCAGGTGGAGCTACCCCAGGGAAGTTCCTGCTAGGGCTTCGAGTTGTGACATGTGATACTTCAGTGCTTATTGCACCAAGTCGAGTTTTAGTGATTCCTTCCTCAAATGTCAGCATTACAACGTAAGTCCTTTTATTAGCTTAATCTATATAGTTAAGAAAATTTTATATTTTAAGGATAGTAATCAGTGTTTAATTCATTTAAAAATTTCTTTGTCATGTTATGCAATTATACATACAGTCTTTCGTTTATTAAATTTCAAATGGAGAGTTCTGAGTATTTCAGTTGTTCTTCAGTTTATATTTCAAGATGTTCATTTTGTGAAATGTAAGTCAGAATAATGAGAGGATGATTTGGGTACTAATGGTATATCAGTGTTCCATGCCCAGCTTTCTTATCCTCTAGATCTGTGGACATCAGTCATTTACTGAATCTGCCTTCAGCCTCCATTTGGTAATACCTGCCATTATCCATCTTGAGTAGATACTAAGAATTTGACAGCTGTACATTCATGCATCCTGCTTCTGCTCTTAAGCAATAGAGCTGGTTTTACTTCAGTGCTCATGGCCAGGTTTTAGTGTCCAGCTCTAGGGGGAGGGCTGAACACTATAGTGATAATGAAAGTTGTGGAGGTGATTAGGTTGGCAGTCAGTTGAGCCAAACAAGATGTTGGCTAGAATTGTTGCCAGAATAATTCAGAGCTGGATTGTTATATCAAAAAAAAGAACAAATGACTCTAGACGCAGCCTTGGTTTTGCTAAAAATGTGGTTATAATCCTAGTTACTTCTTTTTAGTGGTTCCTGTATTGAGCACTCCTCATTACCAGCCCTGTTAATAACACTGAGTATGTATTAAGTTAATCTTAACAACCTTATGAGATAGATACATTACCCCTTTGTGCACATATGAAATACAACTGGTAATTAGAAGATTGGATTTGAATTCATCTGGCTTGACCTTGAGCTCACAAACTTTAGTCACTGCACTTTTCTGTGGCCTTTCCATATACTGAAAGGCAGAAATCTAACATCAGAACAATAATGTTCCATTCTGAGTGACTGTTGAAAGCTTTTTAAAACTTTCCTTATCACTGGATCACACCAAGAGAACTGATAAAAGAACAGAGAGAAATTTAAAATGCTATTGCTTCATATAAGGTAGAAAATAGAACTGCAGTTAGCATACTTAGCTTAGAAGACCCTAGGAATATGCCAAAATAATAAGTTACTATGGAAAAGGTGAGCAAAGTTTTTCTTTTCTTCTGGCAAATGCTAGAAAACAGTGTAAAACCTTAGTTTATACTCTAAGACATGTTTATTATTGCTTTTCATGTTAAAGTTCTGAGGTCTTTAATGTTGATGATATTTTTAGAAATAGTCCAGTGATTTGATCATGATACAGTGTTAGTTAAAAGTAACTGAAATATCAGAGGTAAAAATTCTCTCAATTATATATTCTCTTTGAATATGTATTTTAAATATATACTTTGAACTTGATGGGATACCATTAATCTATATATAGTTAATGTGCAACTTACCCAATATTTTTGCTTTAATTTTTTAGGTCCACTATACGAGCTTTGATCAAGAATTTTTCTATTGCTTCTTTTTTTCCTGCTTTCATCACACTACTGTTCTTTCAGCATAATCGAACAGCTTATGACATTGTAGCAGGAACCATTGTGGTAAAAAGAAATGGGGTCAGATGATGCTCAAAAAGCCCTGAATTCCACATTCTATGGAATAATGACAAGACTAAATTATGTATCAAGGCCATCAGTATCCCTGGGTTGCATTAATTGATGATTTAGAAATTAAAGCAATCACTATAGTGTGATGCAGGTGACTATTCTGAAAGTATTGATTTTACTTGAATGCCAAAGAACTTTTCCAGAAGAAAAACCTGTTAAATTCAAGTGTTAAAATTTTTAGATCAAAAAGAAGGCATGTGGTTTTATAATCAACAATGGACAACATATACTTTCTTAAGATCTAAGGCATTAGAATTTGTTGAAGGCATTTTCAGCTTTGAAATCTCCAAATGAAACTTTAAAATTTTATTTTGGTTTATCCCAAAATAATGGAAAATATCCAGTTGTGTTTTGTAAACACCCATAGGATTCATCTTTTAGTTTACACTAAATCTAAGTGGGGAATCATCTTTATTTTTGGAGGGGAGAGAAGGGGACACAAATTGGATAACTGAATTATCTCCCATCCCAGGAGGGAGAGAAAGCTGCAAGAGAAAGGGACAAGTGAGGCAGGCCTAGCAGTCCCCTTACCTTAAGTTTTCCAATATGTACTGCAGCTCACTGCAGTCATGATGTCACTTTACAACTATTCGTAATGCTTAAGTATGTATTCAGGGGCAGGTTTGTCATGATGATGAAAAAGTATTAAGTCATATTACTATATTATCATTGACTCTTTTAAAGAAAAAGTAAGTTAGTGATTGCTTTTAAGGGAGGGAAAAGGTAAATTTTCATTGTAAATTTAACTTACAATTCATGTGCAAGTGTTTTCAGTGCCCTAAATCAAAGTATGTGGAAAAATTTTACTTCCATCACACTGTTGCATATTTACTGTAAAACAGTACTCCCAGTATGTGTGCAGCATGAAGAAAGTATTAGTGCTTTTCAGTGTTCTTAATGTAACTTCTATTTATATACAGCATATTCACATACTACTTTTCTTTTATATAGTTCCTTAACTGTTGTAACATCAAGGAGTTAATAAAAAATCTTAATATTTAATGATTAAATACTAGTAGCTTGTGAAATATTATAAATTTTCCCATTATGGACTGTTTTCTTGAAAGAATATCATTTCCAGACATATTATTCTAGGTTCTTTAAGCTCATTTGGGGCCTAACAGGGATGAAGTTTGGGGATAATGTTAAAGTTAGTATTTTATGTATTGCCATCTCTGTTCTTCTGTTGAAACAAAATATTCTGTTGCATGTTCTGGGTTTTATGTGTGGAGCTTATGTTAGATGTCATAAACGTGTTGAAGTATACCTACACTATTTATATTTAAGTTTTATTGGGTCTTAGGCATTTTCTACAGATCCAGTATTATTTTCAAAACAAACACTAAACTCTATTGCATAGTTCAAAATTAGATTAATAAGGGATCAGTCTAGGCATTGTTCTTTGTCTTAAAATTTAATGGCAAATGCAAGATGTATCAATTGATGTTAACGCTGTTATCAATTTTTAAAATGGATTTCTTTGACATTTAAAACAATGAAAATAGATTATCACATTTAATGTATATAGAACCTTTAACAATGTTCTTAATAATTTATTATAAAATTGCATAAACCATGTTTTTCAAAATAATTTTATATTAAATCCAACTTCATAAAAGCCCTATTAGTTTAGTATGTCAGTGTACTAACGGATCATTCGCTTGTTCTTTCTGGGAAGATCTAATGTTATGGCCCTTCACAGTTTAAAAAAAAAACTTACATGAAGTTAGCACCTCAGTGGTGTATATACGCTACTTTTGCCGCTGGTTGGGGAATTCAAGTTGAAATGTCCTTTAGTCATGTAGTTCTAAGAGTATATCTTTGATTTCTAATTTCTGGTCAGATAATTGAATGATTTGCCATCTAAGTTATTTTCATGTATGCAGTAAAACAAAAGCAAACAAGTGATCCAGTTTAATTTGTTATACTTAAAATATTGCACATGTGCTATATATGAATAATTCAGAGTAACAGCTCCATAGGTTCATTTGGATGCAAGGATGGATTCAAGTTACAAAGTATTACTGTCTTCCTTTACAGCAAAACTCAAGTCTTTCTATTCATGAAGTTAGCACTTTGAGAAAGAGATTTTGATTCCCAGAGTTGGGGAAAAAAAAGATGAACAACAGAGAAGAGGGAACCAGGTTGTAGCATCACATTTTTCTCTTGGGTTGTCAGGTTGAGTCTCCTTTTCAGAACACTTTTCTATTTAGTATATTTCACTAAATAGAATATTCACAATCAGTATAAAAATACTGATTTTCTGTGTCAAAGTACACTTTTAGTGAAGCTCAAGCCTAAAAATGCAAAGCGAAATTCTCATAGTGCAAACATTATTAATGACTTTAAGTAACAAAGAAACAAAAATTAGGATTCAAGGTGAGTGAGAATACTATTTCATTGAGTATGCCCTTAGTTCAACCACAGAACTGGCAGTTGATTCAGGCATCCAGGAAATCTCATAATCCATCACTAAAGTAATTCTGAGAGGCTAGCACACCTTGAGAAAAGTCTGGCATTATGACTGATGTTCATGGTGGAGCCAGCAGCCAGACCCTATGTAGGTAAATGTGAGTAGATGGCAGGCCCTGCTTTTTTAAACTCTTTGATTATAAAATAAAACCAACACTTTGGGATAGTAAGCTTTCGCTTGTCAGTGTTGTAAAAGTATTGCTCTACTAATACTTCCCTACCACTGTTTCAGTAGTTACTTGTTTGCATCTAAACATTTACCTCCTGATTTCACATGAGTATTTAGGATTGAAAAAAAAAATGCATTAGAGTTGAAGGCTTTTTCCAGATTACCTAATGAGTGTTCATTGTTTGAAGCAATAGTAAAAAGGTTTGTCCAATGACTTGTATGTCTTATTTTATGAATATTTCTAGCAAAGGGAAGGTAGAAAGGAGTTGAAAATTATACTACTTGTGAATAAAGGACTTTTTGAGGTGGATAAGGCTATTAATGTTTTCATTCTCCACTTGTCCCCATTTAAACAGGCTGTTTCTTTGAAGAATATGCTTACATAATAGTATTCCCAAAATGTGATGAGCACCATTTCAGTTACTTGCATTCTCTCCACCCCCAGTACCAAAGGCCAAAGTCTTTGTAACATGCTTGCCTGGGTAAAAGTTCATTTCAAACTGTGTGTGTATGTATTTCCTTGAAGTTCATTACAGTATAGTTTCACCTGCAAACAGTACCTGATGGATGGTGCACGTATAAATAAAACTTGGCATTCTATTTTTAATAATTTGTATGCCATCCATTTGTATTCTTTGTTTCAATAAATAGTCACCTATGCATCTGTGTTTTATCTTTTTCTTTGAGAAGGCTTACTCTGGGAATCTCCAGCTTAGAGACACTTTGCTTCCCAATATAGCTTTTCCAGCAGCTGCAGCAGTAACAGAAGTGCGTTCAGAAGGTCTATGAAAAAAATCCACTTTTGGAAGTGTATTTGTAAAGTGTTCTCAAAAGTTACCTGCTCATGAACTAAGGTTAATGTTAAACTAAGACAGTCCTTTAAGAGTTAGTTATTAACCATCACAACCACCACAAGAGATGTTAAGTCTCACTAGTAAATGACCCAGCTGGGCAACTTAAAAGCCTGACTTTATACTCTGAGAGACCCTGGCGGGTGGATTGCTTGAGCTCAGGGTAAGAAAAGCCTGAGCAGAGCAAGACCCCTGTCTCTATTCAGTATAGGAAAACAGACAGGAGGATCACTTGAGCCCAAGAGTTCAAGGTTGCTATGAGCAATGATGATAGAGTGAGACTGTCTCAAAAAAAAAAAAAAAAAAGCCATTCCAATTCTAACCTTCAAGGCCTAGATACAAAACAATAGGTTCCTCAAAGGCAAAGATAATAAGGATAAATTTGAGTGTAACTAAAATACAGCCAGCTTCTATAGACAGTATGCTGTTAGCCTTGTCTCAAACTACATTTTGGAACTGCAGTAGACTTTTGCAAGAAATATAAAGAGTTGTCCTATCTTGCAGGAAAATGATGGCTCTGATTGACATGGTCTTAAGGCAGCTGTGGGTAGCTAGACCCAGCACTCCTATGTTTTCAGTTTTACTGTATCAAATTTATTGGTTTCGATTAAACGCACAGGGTAAGCTTTATAAAATTTCCACTGAGATTCAAACTTCAAACAGGCACGGAAAGATACACTAATAATATTAAAACAAATGCAAATTTCCTAGGCTAAACCAGACTGGACTGGTTTATTCAGTTTCAAAGAATTAAATGCTAATTACATGAACAAGCAATTTGAAAATTTGCAACGTTTTCATCAGATTAAGGACATTTTTCAATTGTCAGAACTGTATCTTGCTTTAATGCCTGGAACTGTAATTACTCAAAACCACTTAGCACTTTGCTGAAAGTGACATCCCTGGGCCTCAGTGCCCCAGAAGCCTTCTTGATGCTCATTTAATTGTACAGACTTTTGGACCCTCTCCAGACCCAGGGTGTGAAGCTCTGGCAATGAGGTCCTAGACTAGTGGTTCTCAACCTTCCTAATGCCACGACCCTTTAATATAGTTCATGTTGTGGTGACCCCCAACCAGAAAGTTATTTTTGCTGCAAAACAAAAATAATTTTATGGTTGGGGGTCACCACAACATGAGGAAATATAAAAACGTGCCTGGTTAAACTTTTTGCATTTGACCTTCCTTTTTTTTTTGAGACAGTGTCTCAAGCTGTCCCCCTGGATAGAGTACTATGACATCACAGCTCACAGCAACCTCCAACTCTCAGGCTCAAGCAAGTCTCCTGCCTCAGCCTTCCAAGTAGCTGGGACCACAGGTGCCAGCCACAATGCTTGGCCATTTTTTGGTTGCAGCCGTCGTCGTTTTGGTGGGCCGGGGCTGGATTCGAACCCGCCACCTTAGGAGTGAAGACTTAGCCACTTGAGCCACAGGCGCTGAGCCTGACTTTCCTTTCTTAAAGAGTTTTTTCCATTTAAAAAAAAAAAAATTCCTTAGTGGCTTAGCATGAGAAGTGGGTTATTTTCTTTTCCCTTTCTTGCACAAACAGCCCTGAGGTTTCAATTGTATGTGCCGCATAAAACCCAAAGGAGCTGTTATAGGGAGTGAACAAGCAGTAGGTCTATAGCCTAAACCCATGCAATAAGGACATACCCTCTGCTGGGCCTGAGGAGGGACAGGTTTAAGGTTGGTATCCCAAGAAAGTAGATGGAAAAAAACCCCAAATTCTGAATATGGTCTTAGAGACTTCCTAGTTCAGAGGACCAAAAGACTCCATTTTTAACAAAAGCAAGCTTAAGTATGGTTTTTAGCTAACTTGTTTTTTAAAAAGAATACTAAATAAAAGTAAACATTTCACCTGTAATCCCAGCACTCTGAGAGGCCAAAATGGGTGGATTGCTTGAGCTCATGAGTTTGAGACCAGCCTAAGCAAAAGCAAGACCCCTGCCTCTACTAAAATAAATAGAAAAACTGAGGTAAGAGGATCACTTGAGCCCAAGTTGGAGGTTGCTGTGAGCTATGATGACATGGCACCCCACCCAGGGCAACAGCTTAAGACTTTATCTAAAATAAAAAAAAATAAAACATTTCTAACATTTTTTGAGAAAAATAGAAAGTATGTTCCCAACTAGATGGGCCTAGGGAATGGCTAAGAACTAACCCAAAGAGTAGATGTTAACTTTTGAGCAGTTAAGACACAGACTTCCACTTACCTCTTCCAGCTTCACCACCATCTGCCCCCAAACAGCTAAGTGTCAAATGTGTATTGTTAATAAAATAACTGTTAGAAAAATACCTTTGAGGCTGGGCACAGTGGCTCATGCCTGTAATCCTAGCACTCTGGGAGGCCGCAGTAGGTGGATTGCCTGAACCCATGGTTTTGAGACCAGCCTGAACCAGAGTGAGACCCTGTCTCTTAAAATAGCTGGGCGTTGTGGTGGGCACCTGTAGTCCCAGCTACTTGGGAGGCTGAGGCAACAGAATCACTTGAGACCAAGAGTTTGAGGTTGCTGTAAGCTGTGATACCAAAGCACTCTACCAAGGGTGACATAGTGAGACTGTGTCAAAAAAAAAAAAAAACAACAAACTTTGTATTGGAAGCACAAAAAAGCTCAACACTTTAAAGTTCTAAATTTAAATGTCAACCAGGCCTCGGTGCCTGTGGCTCAAGTGACTAAGGTGCCAGCCACATACACCTAAGGTGGTGGGTTCAAATCCAGCCAGGGCCTACCAAACAATGATGGCTGCAACCAAAAA